ACATTTGTCAGCATAGTTCATAAATACCAGATACCTTGCTGCACCCAGGTAAAGATAACATAGATATTAAGTTGCTTACTCAATGAAGTTCAAGTCTTAATAGATATTTGTAATAAGGTAAGTCCCACATGTTAGTCAATTAAGATAGGCTGACTCTTTTTGTCATTAAAAGTAAAACTACAGAAGAAAGTCCAACATATTCATGAAACATAACTATCACACAGGCAGCAAGGAAAACACCAAAAATGTATGCATGTAAATATAAAAAACTGTAGAACACTGTGCATTATACATTTTTTCTCTCTAGGAATGGACAATACTTTTTATTAAATTGAGTTTATAGTTTATGTGTTAAAATAAACTTATAATGAAATATAAGAATGACAAACATGCACACCTGTTTTTATCCTAAGAAGTAAACACAAACTTAAAATTTAATAACATAGAAGCAAGACAAGAATTTTAGATCGAGGAGTGATATTACAAGGTAGCCTACACTCCTATGGTAACAAATGGATACAGTGCTACAGTCCAGTCAAAGTTATCTGCATTTACTGCAAACATCTGATAAGAAATGCCCATCATAAAATTAAATATACAAAGTAAATGTATGATTTATTTCTTAAATAATAGATTAAAGTAATTAGAAACAATAGGTATATGTTAATAAACTATGTAATCATGGCAAGTTACCTTCCTTATAATTATATAAATACATTGTAGACCATTAACATTTACCTTTTGAAACGAAAATAAACACTATGGTTTTCCACATCTATATTCTCTAAACAGAAGGACAAATTCTCATACATACATTCTTCCATTTCTTGTTTTCATATTATAATTCCCTTATTGTATAAGGATTATAAAATCTTGAGATGCATTTAAGACTGTTTAATGTATTTTTTATAGTATAAAGATATTTATAAGCAATTTGAAATAGGAAACTGTATGTAAGTGAAACTATAATATGTGCTTCACTGACAAAATTTTGTATGGGTCGTTTCTTATGAAATGTTTGCAAGAATTATCGAATTTTGCTTACATTTGGGGTGTTAGTCTTCGCTTGCCTGACCTGGCTTGTCCTACTGAGGTTGGTAGGCCTTACCTGCACCTGCTTGCTGACCATCGAGCCTGCAGGTTGTGTCGAGGCTGGTGGAGGAGGAGGTAGTGGTTGAGGATGAGGTCTTGGTGGCTGCATCAGTGAAGAAAATTCTGCCACTGACGAATTGGGTGTTGTAACTTGCGGTGAGAGGAGTTGTTGAGGCGATGGTGGATACTGTAAGAAGATAATTATAAGAAATATCAAAAAAGATATCAAATGCCGTAAAAAAATTTAAAATACGCAACAATCTAGATATGTTATATTTACCATAGGGTAACCCTGTTGAGGGGAGGGACTTTTAGCACCACCATGCCGAATAGGGCTATTACCCAAATGATGCTTTGGAAAATACTCATTGATTTTTTTATTCTCGAGGGCAGCAACGGATCTAGACCCCTTACTCCCTACAGGTCCCCCTGTAACTCCTCCACCTCCATCATCAGCTTTACGCTTTCTTTTTCTTTCCGAAGGAGTCCTTGGTACCTTTTCCGGAGTATTTGGGTCTACCTCCTTATCACTATGCGATGAGCCTGTAGATACATCGAAATGAATGTAATTGCAAAATAGTGTCTTGATGATTCATGCCATTATGTAATTTGTGTTTTTGTTATTATAACATCGAAGATATGCAACTTACCAGTGCTCATGTTCGAATCTTGACTATGAACCGACTGACCAGAGTTTACAGTTGATTGGGGTGCCATCTGAATTTGTGACCCAGCAGACATCTGAAATAAAAGAAAAAATCTTATGTAAAATAATGCATTCGAGATGTACATTTAAAAAAAAAATATTGTAATAAAATACAAACAAAATCAATGTCTTACTAATAGAATCACACACATGTAATGGTAAAATACTACAACGAGGGGCATAGAGCATAATTATATACATTTATTTTATGTATTTATCAATGCTAAATAAATTTAGTACAAGCCTGTTTAGAGAAACAACATGGAGAAAAGTATCGCATCGCGAATCAAGATTCGATATTCGTAGAAGAGGTTACACTTCGAAAATCATACCGGCGCATAAAATATTGGCCAACGAAGATCGCATGTTATTAAAAGATACGATATACTGGAAAAAGTAACTTAAATGGACAGAGAAAGACTTCGGAGGAAAATAGGAGAATGAAGACGTACAATGTGTGAGTGAGAAAGAAGTAGGTTTAATAAGAAATTGTAAGACAGTATCAGAGAGAGTGAAAGAAGAAGAGAGGAAGAGCGAGAGGAAAAGACAGAGAGAGAAGTGACACCTTCCAGGATAGCCTATGGTGGAGCCCCATAGTCGTATTTGCTACTTGGGTTAACAGACAGTATGTCAACCATAGACACGGTTTCGCGCACAATTTGTAGGTAAATGTCAATAGGACCGTTTGAAGAAAATGTGCGATATATGTTTAGAGCTAGAGGAATCACGACAAAATGGAGGAGTGTAGCAGAGGGGGGCGGCGGAAGGGCAGGGAGTTTACGGGGCTAGAGAAGAGGGAAGAAGGAAGGCGACGTAAAACAGAGAGGGGGTGGAAGTAGAGGAACAGAGAGAATGAGAGATAGAGAAGGGGGGTAGGAGGTAAGAACTCGATGGCAGAGGAGTGGTTGGATCGGGAACCACGAACGCATACCGCAAGGGGGCAGTTTTACTCACTGCTTCACTTCTGAACTCTGGTCAGGCCGGCTAGTTAACTGGCTTTCCTATCTTACATACTTTTCTACATACGCACCAAATACAGCCACTAGGCAAGTTGGTTTCGATTAACAGCAACGATAACCGCGACGACACACTACGTCACTAGGTTTGTGACGTCGGTCCTCCGATAAATTACGCACTCTTATTATTATTATCGGCGGCGTGTCAGCCACGTTTACTCTGCGCGCGGTTAAGAACCCGGATTAATGGTAAGTCCTCATGGACGCGGTCACGCGTTTGCGCGTTTGCCAGGCGGAACGCACACGTTCGAATTCCACGCTCTGTCACTGACGTGCACACGCTGCTTGCTTACGATTAAAACATCGCTACCGCAAAGCACCTCAAATATGGATGAATCCTTCAAAAACTGCATTCACTTGAGCTCATTGCTCCCTTCGATACAATGTTTTTCTTGCTTTCCACGAACTCTCATTCCGTTACAATTCATGTGTTATTGTCAAATTCATGATCTTTCAATACGTGGAATTAAATTTTTATTTATGTTAACTTGATCACATTATTTTTTTCATTTTACGACGCAGTACGATTAACACAATTGAAACACTGGTAGTAGATCGGTTGACAGCTTCCGTAATAAGGACTATTTTTATGTTCACGTTTGTGGGAACTATTTTAAGATATACACAGGAGATTTACATTTTAGTCGTTTATATTTTTGTTCTGTTTTACAATATATTTAACATTTGTTCGGTTAATAAAATGATACAACTAAATTATACACTGTACGGATAAAACAATTCGATCACTTCAGTAACTTCACAATAATTTTATTACCCCTCATATTTTGATGAAATATTAATACATAACTTGGTCAATATTCCATGAAGTTAGATTAATGTACATCACACATATAAGTGTTATTTTTAATATTATGTACTACAATGTTCAGTCGAAATTCCACAATCATTGCAAAAATAAAATACTTTGACATAGTTGAGAAAGAAGTAAACACAGTGTTTACAACAAGTATATACTGTTACGAAACTACGATAAAATCTTAAAATTCCATTGAAAAACTGCTCAACAACTATGCGCGTATTATCTCATAGAAGAAATATTTAAAAGAATGATTAATTTAAGTATGTACCATGTAAACTTTTAAGATAATGAGATGTTAAATTCAGATATTTCGAAAATCACGTATAAACTTACTTCGACATACATACATGCATCGTACACGTACATTCGTGTGCCAATGTATGTATCAAAAACATGGAGCGAGATCTCGATTACTTGGCAGGGTATGTAGCAAGTAGTAGATTACGAAAATATTCATTGTCACGTAGAAAATGCACGTGATCGTAAGTCACCAATTAGAACAACGACGAATTTCGAACGTGGGACTCGATGGTCTATGAATGTTTCGTTTCACTTGCTCATACTTTGCTAAACATGCCAAAAATTCAACTAGGGATAGGAAACTTCCTTATCGATGAATCAATGGCCGTGCCCGGAACTGGGCTAGAGGGCCGGGAAATCGTTCCTCCGGCAGCGATTTGCTTTTAAGACGGACGGTCTGTATTCGTGCGGTTAGGCGAGTGTGCGAAACGCTCGCGGAGAGTTACATGCGAAAGTGGTGACATATACGAACCCAGTGAATCGGGACATGCGGATTTTACAGTGCACTCCTCTAACCCAGACGATCTGGCTTCGGTATGGCCATAACCATGAAGTCGTATCGAACGATTTAAACACCGCACATAAGCTATCCTTTCAAACTCTGACGAAGTCAGCTCACTTCGTGTCTTCCTCCACAGTGCAGTTCCACTTGTAAAAGTGGCGTGCAGTTAGCACGCCGGGTAAACAGCAATAGTAACAGCACCAACAGCACCGAGTGCCGTCAATGGCCACGATAAACGGCATTACGCGTACGTTTCACGGGCCACAAGCGAGCCAAAATCCCCGGCGTGGACTCGCCTAATCGAAACGGAACTGGAACTGTCCGACCACCGTGCCCCGCTCGCATACTACTATCTAGCGGAGGTTTCTCTCTTTCTCCCTTTCTCAGTCGCTCGCTCGCTCGTTCTCGCGCTCCCTCTTTCCTTTCCTCTCTTCTCCGCTCCTATGTACGGCAAATGAGCAACGCGCGAGATTCCGAGATGCGGCAAAAGGTGCAACCTCCACCTCCCCGCGACGCCACTACCGCCCTGCGATCACAACAGACAGAGAAGAGAAAGAGAGAAATTCGGAGAGAGCGAGAGAGAAGCCCAGAGAGATCGAGAGGCCCATGAGAGGAAGCAGAGAGAGAGGAAGAGGAGGGCGAACAGAGGTTGGGGAGTTGGTGGAGAGGGATGGACGGCGAGTCAGTTAGAAAGAGAGCTAGCTGACTGAGGGAGAGGTTTTGCAGGGGGAGGGTCAGGAGGGGCAAAGGGAGAGGAAAAGGGAGCCGGAGGGAGGCATATGAGACATTCCTTCAGTGAACGGGTCGACCGAGTGTGAGTGCAAGCGAGCCGGTAAAATCGATGTGGCGAAGTGTGGCTGTGCCACTACGGTGTGCAAAGGGTGTGTTGTACCCTGTATGTGATCGGTGCTCTGCCTTGTGGCGTTATTTCGTATAGTAATACGATTCGTTGTATTTCTCACTAAATCGATCCATAAGATTGAATTATAGAAAATATTTCGCTCGTAAAAACATTTTCGCGAAAATGTCAGATTATTTGTACAAAGTCTTTATTAGGTACACTTTCAATGTACCTAACTGTCATGCATGTTCCCATGTATATTTTTCGTAGGCTTCTGCTTAAATTATTCGCCTTATGCCCACAAACCTTATGCATATTATTTTTCCGCATTGTCCATCTTTTCCATTTCTTTCCTTCAGAAATTATCATGTTCACTTAAAACATATCTTCTATAAGGTCCTTTGCTATGTCACCTTGCGGCTAATTCAATGATCATGAGATAATTCGTTCAAGGAAACACCGAGTTTTAAATTTTCTAGATTGCAATGGAATAAATCGTAGCACAATACAAATGTTTGATAAATTTGGTCATAGTATCGAATTAAACGAATCAACAACAATAATGACAAAAGTACATACCCGATGAGAATACACAAGCTTGTCGGAGTATGCTTGGACTCGGTTGCGACACTATTTTAATCCGTCGAGTCTTGTACCGATTTGCACGATCGTGTAAGGCATCGTGTACATAGGATGGCACCTGCCTCAGAGTTGAACATAGAGCGCCCTCACAGCGGTTTCACTAGTTACGCTCCTGCAATACGCCGTGCCGACGCGTGCTTCAGCCTGTGCGAGGGCGTATTGGCGAGATGTAGTTCCAGTGGAGGGGATTGAAAGAACCAAACGTGTACGCGCGTACGAGATGACGGCTCGACGGACGAACATAACCGGTCGGGCGGGAGGGCAGGCGGGAGAGTATGTCAGGTTTAGGTCGAACAGCACAGCGTTTCTCAGTAGTCGCGTTCCTACGCTCCGATGATACGGTTGTGTGGTACTTTCTTTGCCGTTTATTTAAATTATGTCATTTCTACTTAACTTCTATCATCTTTGATCATACGTATTATTCAACCTGGTGTTTTGCAATTATTTCGTGTTTGTGACTTGGAACAGTTCTGTGAAAAACCGTGGTAATTGTAATTCAAAGATCTACTGAATATATTTTTGCAAATTCTGTTGGTTTATGATTTGAAACTTTCATGTTATCTACTTTCGTCTTGTTTCGGCTCTGACCGCGTCTAGTTATGGATCGTGCAAGTGTTATTTTTCTGATGTGAACACTACCTATCTGTGAACAAGTTGCTGAACAAAGCAACAGAACGGAAGCAGCTTAAATATGTATTATATTAACGGTACGAAGTGAGAAAACCGCGAGCAACGTCGCAATATTTCGGAAACTTTGACAACGTTGCAACAGCATTTTCTTCATCGTCGAATAGGGAGACTAGTTTCGCAGATGCGTTTTTGATTAATATGAATAAAACTTATACTACACTCGACGTAGCTCTGGGAATGTGTGACTCGATTTATATGAACTTACAAAACACAGATCGCCCTCG